ATAAAAATTTCTATAGAATGTTTTATCGTCCTCAAATCCTTTAACTATACAATACGAATTGATTCACTTTGAATATTATGATACTAAATTTGGAACGTAGAAAAATTTGGGTCAGGCTTAGTTTCATTCTTTCTATAACTATTATTATGATAATTCGTTATATACCGATAATAGATTGGTAATACTAAATTATTCAGGTTGATATAATAGAATTTAGGCCTTCGTTTATGTATATAAAAAGTCGATTCTGTTCGTAATTTAATCATCCGTCTGTTTAGTTTTATTTGGGAAGAAATGAGTAATTATGATATTAAACTAAATTGATTAATACGGAAATTTAGTTTGCATAATTAGTTGAAAAAAACTGTTAAGGTTTAATATTGAAACGCATCAGAAAACTGATCACATCTAAGATATCCTTCTGTACCCAGCTAGAGGTCATAGTAATTTTTTTTAATGATTATCTAAGATCAAATTTCCATTTTCAAACCTTGATAAAAATCTCTTTTTAATCTTTGTTAGAACTTTTCTATGTCTAGCTTCATTATTATCATCAAGTTTTCCCCCTAATTTAATTTCGAATTTTTCTATAATGCTCGCTACTTAAATAAGAATGCTGTAGAATGGATGCGATTTAAATTTTTTGAAGATGGGTTTTGGGTTCAATACACAAAAAATTTCTATAATATAAAACTAAATTTTAAATTCTATAAACTTGCAAACTTAATCTTTGCTCAAAGGCCTATTCTATGTAGAGAAACAAGACTAGATATTGCAATCTACTACTAATATTTGTTAAAATTATAATATATTTTTTCGAAAATTTAATTAAAATTATTATTTTCTTAGACATTAGTTTCTATGTTTTATGTCTATCGATCAAATTTTTATTTTCCCTAGATTTGTGTATACAGAATGCAAATTTTACCGCGGACTACCCATGCCTCCGCCCCTTCTTATCCTGTAAATATCACCTTTAGATGTGTGCCATAGATGGTAACCTAATGTAATAGGCATGCAATGCGTGAAAATGTTCTTTCCTCTGGCTGAATAGCATAAATTTGCATTTAAAAAAAATGACTAGGTCAGTCTGCAGACCACCTGGCTCATGTTCTTGGACCACCAGTAGTCCACGGACCATACTTTGAGAAACACTGCTGTAAGAGACTGAAGAGGGGATAAGAAATGATAATAACCTTTAACACATCTCTTAGGAATTTTTTAAGAATAGCAAATAAAATTTCTGCTTATAACGTGAATCTGGATTATGAGACGATTCGAAATACGGATTTAGACGGTGAAGATGTAAATTATATATAAAGTTTTCTAAGAAGCGATGCTCTTAATTTGTATATTAGGATTTATTTATAATTTGTTTTTAAATTAGTGAAAAATGTTTGTATTTAGTAACGGCTAGACTTACTAGTTGTGGCCTTAAGCTATAAGAACCAGGCCCTTCACCTCCATTAAATAATGATACACAAAAAACTATGAGGCCTTAAACTGCAGATTGTTTAGCTTATATGCAAATCGGACTCTGTTTAAAACGGATTTTTCTATGTTGTAATTCAAAATTTCAGTATAAGAAATAATATTTTTATCGTTTTCATCAATTTTTTAAGATAATTTCTGCTTCAATTTTATAAAAATCCAATTAAAAATCCTTGTTTCTTCCACGTTTTACAATAAGAAATAATCTTTATCAAATTCTAATTTACAAAATGTATAAAATATTTTATATATTTTCACTTTTTCATCACGTATTTAAATCAATTAATATTTTTATTATTTAATTTGGTTTAATATCCGATCCTTTAAATTTATTCATATTTTCACGGATCATTAAATTTGCCCAATTTGTATAATGAAACATCACACGATAAAATAATCATTGAACCATAAATTTTGAATATATTATTCATCTTTTTCACACTTAAAACATTTTTTAATTTGCTAAATATTAGTAAAAATGGGCTTATCATTTTCTCTACTTTATCAACTAGCATCTTCGTAGAAAATTTAAATGATAATGACACACACACAAAATCTATATTAACAACAATATTAGGATTAAAATTAGTCGAAAATGTGCTTAAAATTAATATTAAAAAAATTCTTATAATTTTTATCGAATTTTTTTATTATTATTTAAAATGTGATATTAGTGAAATGCAATGAATTTTAAACTTATCTAAACTCCATATAAATTATTTATTTGTTTAAGTAGGTCAAATAAATTTCTCTTATTCTATGCAAGATAAAAAAAATTATATATTATAGATTGTCTGAATTAATAAATAACTTTACACAATAATTTATAAGATTCTATGCCACGCTTTGGCATGTCATCCGCATCAATATAAATCAGCAGAACGAACTATGAAATGATTTATTTTACAATTCATTGTTATTTTAAATATTCAAAACATATATTACACATTTTTTTAATAATTTAAAAATGCATTTATGAATAGTTTCTCTCATAATATAAAATATGCAGCCCTTAGGCCAATATAATTTGTAGCTGCATACTTATAGTGTTTTTGCTTGATGAAAAATAATGGACGATGGAAAACATTTAAAAAATACATTTTTATATTATTTACAATATTAAATTTGAAAAAATAATAATATTTTTTGCGGTTTCGCTTGAAGATTTTACAAGATTTTACATTGTAAGTATTTTCGTTCAAAGATTACAAAAAAATATATATGTAATTTAGGTACATTTTAACACTGTTCATATCGTTTAATATAGCTTATATCGGAAGAATTATCTTCTAGGCCAATGCTGTGCCTTCTTATCTCTGTCCATTCTTTCGATCTCCCGTAACATAATAGAAAACTTGCTACTATGGTTACCGCATCACGATTTTAATATATCTACTCACTGTTCTTAAATAAGAAATTATAGGTCCTAATCTATGTATATTTAACAAAATTATTATATAAATTACTTTTCTCCCTCTAGATTTTAATATTTGCTGTGAATTTTAATACAATTTACTAATATATTTTTTTAAATTTAAAAATATATTTAGCTTCTTTTAAATAGAAATTTATAAATAATATTTTAAAGTATCGTAAACATTGTTTTATTTTACTCTATTTTATTAATATACTGTATATTTATCATTTTCACCTTTTAAATTAAATTAAATAATAGATTTTTACTATTTATATAATTTTATATAAACAAATTAATATACTATAATTCTAATTAATTATACGGGATTAAATTTATGATCATTAATATAATTAATTGCCATTTAAATACGCATCCATTCACTAAACTGTTTGCAAATGTAATTGTTTCTGTTGTTTCCGTCAATTTTTTTTAACCATTTTCTACACATTTTTAAACAATAATGTGAGATAAATATATGCAGTTTCAGTATTAATCTGTTGATTGAGGGTGAGCGATCGATTTGATATCCAATGCTCATGTATAAGACATGGAATCGCGTGTTTAGGACTCGGGAAAATGGTCAATAAAAATATTTCTAGGACCTTACGAAAATTTTTAGCTTGCTCAGAAAAAAATAGTGCTTAAAATACTTGTTTATAATAAATTATATTTTGTCTACAATTAATTGAATTATTATTAAAGTTATATAGAATCTTCGTTTGTGTGCATTCATAGGCGTTTATAACGTATTATAATACAAAAAGGAAGTTTTATATACGTTAATTTTTAGTTGGAGATTGAATTGATATTATCCCAATCCAAAAATTATGATAATTATACATTTCTAAACAAGTAAAATATTAAAAACTATCAACTGCTTTGATTACTAGACAATACTTTTGAAGATCCAAAGAAAGATCGTCGTTTTTCTTTAAAAATTTTTATGCAGATAATATAAAAAATATTAGCATTATTTTAGTAAAACTATTTTATATAATTTTTCTATTTTATTACAAAGAGAAAATATAATTATTATGATTATTAGAGGATGGAAACTATTCAAAGAACTAGATTGGAGGAAGAAAGAGAGGAGGGGATGAGAAAGAGAGGAAAATATCTTAATAAGGTACTGAAAGAATAGGGTGAATCAGAAAGTATGAAAAAACTTATAGATAATAAGTACAGGATAAATAACGAAGTAATAATGCAAAGAAATGAAGCTGTTTCTTACGTTATTTCTCTCTAAGGGGGATTGAGACAAGAAAACTTCTTAAAAAAAGTTTAGCTATAAATATTATTTAAGATATTTTGACGTAAGAATGATAACTATTTACAGAAATTTTCGAGACTTATCTATATAACAATAAGCTAATAATAGATTGTCTGTCATGGCACAGACAAATATTATTGAAATTAGACACTAATTTTGATAGACTAATTCTCGATTCGATGCAAATTATGTTATAATTAAAGCTGACTTCAGATGCATCTACTAGTCCTACGCTTTATTATAACGTAATATAATATATTAGCATTTTCACTTTACAATTAATTCACATTAAAGCTTATGTTTTATTTACGAAACTATGTAAGCTTATACAAATAGAATTATAGCTTTTTATTTATTATATTCATAGCGTATTGTATATTACATTATTAATGAGCTCATTCTATAGAACTCTATGCTTTAAACGAGTTATTAAATATTATATTTCTCTATCAGTTTATGGCGTCTGATGATACCTTCTTATCTCCAGGAATTCTTTCCATCTTTACCTGTCATACTACACTTTTCCCATTCCACTATCTGCTGTGGCTCTATATCATCATATTCTTCTTGGTCCCTCTTCTTCTTTTCCCCTTAAGCTTTGCCTTCACAATTTTTGGAAATCTTTCCTTTAGTATCGCCCATATCACATCAATTGTTTTTTATATATCTTCGGAGTGATATTGATCATAATATATACTAGAACAACGTTTAATCTTAAATTAACTCTTTTGAATCACTGTATAAACTCTGTATAGATATGGTCTATATACATATATAGAAACAATTATAACTCAGTTATAATAATATTATACTTTCTTACAGCAAACCAATCGCTCTGCAGATCGCCATCGAATCTAAAAATCTCACGAACAACAACTGGAAGACGAATTTTACGACTATGAAATCAAGAATCTATGAGAAGACAAATTATTCTATAGACATAATATTCAACGAGAGCAATACCTGATACAATTATTTGCCAAAATAGGCCTACTTAAACTCATTTCTTAAATATTTTGAAAGAAAAAACAAGAACTGTCAGTTTAAATAAAACGAATATGCCCTATTTTTTATGGTAAGAGACTATGTTAACCTCTGTATATATACGATATATTGTATGCGTGGCTGTATGTGAACGTTGTAAATATATAAAATTAAATGTTTGAATTGTATTTTAATGTTAAAATTAATTTTGAAAAATAGTAGATTAGTTTTATATTTTGTGAAATTAATCAGTAAAAAAAACAAAAAAAACAAAAAAAAATTTGGATGATTTATCGAAGAAATTCAAGGTTGATCGTGATAAATTTTAAGAATTGTAAATTCATTTAAATTAAATGTCATTCTATTCAAATGAAAATTATCATAATAAATATTTGGACAGGTAAAATAGTAATTATGCAAACAAATACTTGCGAAATCATCTTGTACAGCGTTAATTTAATACTATTTTTAAATAAATTTAAATGGTGTTGTAATATTTGTTTTGTCTATTTTTTTATTCATATAACACGTAACTTAAACAATTAACTATTATCCGACTTCGTAATCTTATAATAAATTAATTATAATATATTTTAAATTTGAATTCATTTTCATAACTGATTCGTTATTCTTGATTACGTCAATTTTCTGATAACCAATAAGATCTTATCTTTGCCTACAACTATCGAAGCTTCTATATTTTTTTATAAGTAGACAACCAAAATATTGACTATAGATTTTATGTTTTAATTTTAAATAAATTTTGTGCGGTAAATGAAGTTATTAATTAGAAAAATCTTGGTATAAGTCGAAATGTTTTTATTGTCGTATCAAAGATACGCCCAATCGTGAGAGATTCGCACGAGCGGTTATGCATTACCGTAAATGTCTCCTATCCAAGATTGAACGGACAATCTTCTATACCAGATACTATATTGACTAATACATCCGGGAAGTATTACGTCACTCATTATATATACTTTATATCGAAAACATAGATTCAACATTTAGGTTTATTTTCTATTATATTCTCAATGACAGAGTACGAAGTTTGATAAGAGAACTTATTTTATTATATTCAAGTCTTCAATTTGATTAAATTTAGCTTGAATTTATATAAATACACATTAAATTTACTAAGATTGCTGGATATTTGTACAAAACTTTAGTACAAAACTGAAGTTTTTATAGTAGAAATGCCCTTCAATCTCGCTCAATTTCGATTCATGAAAGATTTAAGAGCCTATTCGACCTCATGAAATTTTCAGTCTAATCCGCCTTCTACTATATTCTGTTGATTTATCCCGAAAGCCGTTTGCTAAAGTATAGATTATTTTTTTTTCCTGAAAAGAAATTCTGTATTCAACTTACAACTTTTATATACCTTCTCTTCATATAAAGTGCCTTATTGTAACGTTCTCCGTAGATGAATTAACGTCAAATCTATCCAAATTTGATTAACAATATTAAAATAAATTGGTATTTATTTATCTACTTTAATTTTTATACATTAATTTTTTAGTAGGCGATTTTAAATCTGATATTTATGAAGTTTCTTCTGTCAATGTACTGTACTGTACTGTACTTGTGATGATGAGTTGAGAAACTTGAAGATGTATGAGAAATGAGTTTAAAATCTTCAACAAAGCAGGAAATAGTAAATTTATACTTACCAGATTAATTTTTAAAATTAAATTATACTATTTTTACTGTATTAATTCCATAATAGAGCTTCAAACTATACAAAACACGACGCTTTCCTTTCAATTTTCGCAAGTTTAAATACATTTTAAACACTTAAAAACATTAAAAAATCATTCATTTTAATTAATTTTCCTACTTCTGTGAATTTAATTTATAATTTTCATACGTTTTCTGGTATAAAAACTATTTTAATTCTATCTCAGAAGATGAATTTGATATTAAAAATCCTTGATTTATTCACGTTTTAACTTTGTGATACTAAGATAATATTTATATTTAAATAATAATAAACTGAAAATTAATTATTTATAAGAAATTATCTCCTTTTTTTTCTATGGAAATATATCATTTTTTATTTTTTGAATAATTCATGATTTGTAGAATTAGGTTAGAGGTTTCTATTGTTTAATAATGTAACATGGTAGTCATTTATATAAATAAAATCAGTGAATTTTAAAGGAAAAAAACTTAATCATTATTCAAGTTAAATAACAATATTTCGAACAATAAATATTGTTTAAATTATCACAAAAAAGAGGAAAGAAATCAGGTTTTAAAGTTAACTTGATCTAGAAATTTTCAATTATTTTATCTTAAATTTTGAAATTTATCAAAAAGTTTTATTAAAATGAAGAAAATTATGTTATAAAATTTAATAGAAAAATTGCTTAAAATTTCAAATTAAATCTATAAAAAGAAATTTATAGAATTAGAAATGTATAAATTAAATGATGAGAAAAATTAAAATATTAACATAAATTTAAATTTTTATGGCATAAAAATAAAATAGAATTAAGCTATTTTAATTTGAAAACATTAGAAAAATGCACAGAATGATAATTAACACTTGGGAATTCTGAATAAAGAAATGGTGCAAGGCAATTATAGCCGAGGTTAAACCATGACATTTATTTATAATGAGGAAAATATGGAGTTTTTTGGATATTAAAATGTATAAAAATAATAAATAAAAAATGATCTGCACCTCATTGAACCATAATAGAAAATTAAAGTGATAAATCATAATTTTTATGCTAATAAATTTCTATGTAAACTAATTTATTATGGAATAAAATTAGCAAACATTATTTTGCATTTGCTAAAATTAATTTGCATTCTAAATTCTTATCTCAAGAAATAAAATTAGATAATATTTTAATGAAAATATATATTTACCATTTATAGAATCAAAGCTTAAACTTCTTAAATTATTTTTAGAACTTGACCTTTGACCTCACCTGCTTGACATACATTTTAAGCTGAATTTTTTAATGTAAAATAGATTTTTATGAGCTTATATTAATGAAATTTTAAAGGTTTATACGTAAATTATAATTGAAAATCACTTATATATTCATAAATCATTTTAAAATAATAGAAAAATTCGATTTAAATCATAAATTTGTTTCTTAAATTTATAAATGTGCAGCTTCATCCATATATCATACAGGGAATTTATTATATGATTTATGACGTTGTAGATATAAAAAATAAATGAAAAAATAAAATATTACGCTCAGAAATTCCTTTTATCTCTCCTTGTTTTTTTCATAAATATTTTTAAAAAATTCGAGATTAATTGACAAAATTATTATTATTCTAAGAAGTGGAGGGAAACTTAACTTATACATGATTCAACGAAAAGTAAAATTATCATACATAATACAAAGTTCAGAAATTATCATGCACGTAGGCGAACCGTTGTTTCTGGTATGAAGAAAACTGATATATTTGCAGAGGGATGAAGGAAGAAAGAAAAAAAAAGTTTGTTTTCACGGATAATTTCCCATTATTTTATGACTTACAAGTGGGAAAAGATAGAAAGTTGTGCTGAATGGAGAGAGGGTCTTTGCGACACCGCTCGTGCCTCCATGCCGTATCTAATCATAAGAGTTTTTAGACAACACCCACACACACACACACACACACACACAAACCAGAAAAGAGGGGAAGAAATATGACAAATCACAATACCAACTTAATGGAATAAGTTGAGTCGGGATAACTTTTATTGGTGTTACGTGACACCGAAGAGTCTATACTTAAGTAAGAACAACATCCCTCGTTCCCTGGAGGGAGAAAATACTAACATATTTTCTTTACAGGGAGGGAAGAGAGCCAGGAATACTAAAGTTCCGTCTGTTAATAGCGATAAAACTCACTGCCACATAGTTGACGACCAATTAAACCATATTCGTCGCAACTTACACGACTTTTTCGGTGATATTATTCGTGTATTTTTACTGCACCGTGACCGACAACGCCTACGATACTTAGATAAAAAAAAAACTAAAATAAAAAAATGTATGGCTGATGTTACATCAAATTCACGTCTTTGTCTTCGACGTTACAGTATCAATAAAGTGATGAAGAACAGATTAACCTACTAACCATCGTCAATAACGTAGAAGATCATTATGTAGACGTGAAAATAATTAATTTTCTAGCATACAGCTGACGATAGAATAACCGTTCTTAGCTGGGGGATAGAAACGTTCTTATATTTTTTATTTATTAAGTAATTCTACGCGCGAAACCTTAAATATTTGAGATATAAACTGATGAAGAGCCTCTCTGTATTTGTGGTGAATGAGTAAAAGCATCAGATAAATGATATCACAGAAGAACAGGTTGTTGAGTAAACACTCCGATCTAACAGAAGAGGGGGGAGGAAAGTCAAAGTGAATTTTATAAAATTGAAGAATATGATAAAGTACGTGATATTCATATCCGATAACTTGTCTAGTTTTATAAGTCAGTGCACATCTCGTATCGCCCGACCATTAAAGTGTCCTTAATGTTACTCGAAGCGGTACTTCTTTATTGTCCTTGTACGGTCATAGTACTAATAAATTACTAAACACGTGGTTGAGGAAGAGAAGGAGATAGTAAGCCATGCAGTTGGTGTACGGTGATATTAATACCACTAGACAATAAAAAGGGGGTAGGCCTTAATGATAAGACCAGTGGATGAAAAATGATGTAGTGGGCCTGTTATACACACATAGTCCACATTTTCCGGCATTCCAATTGCTGGTATTAAGTTACAGTAGGCGAGTTTCGTTTAAATTTTCGTTTGAAATTTATATCTGAAGTAAATTACAACGAAATTAATTTTTTACCTCGAAGTAATTGCATAAAATTCGTGAATAAAAATAATCACGGCTGCAGTTTTTTAAATAAAAGAGTGTTATGTATGCATTACTCTATTATTTGACTTGATTAAATTTTATGGGGCTGAAAAATATAATTAAATCTCACTCGTAATCGACCGTGGGGTGTACTTTTAGATGACTATTGCTATTTTTTCTCCCGTCTTTTTAGCTTGGTTCCTCCCTAGTTTAACCGCAAATTGAGTTCTGTTACAATCTTTTAAGCCACTATTAAAGTAAATTACATTTTTAAAGGCAAACCTATGCATTTAGCACGGTTTAAAATCATTAATTTTAAGAACACATACGTAAAAACATAAGAAAATTGCAAACCTCTTTTCTGCATTTGTACCATATGTAGGATAAACATCAGTAGGCTTCAAGCTCTTAAGAGTTGCCGATTATCTATAGCAAACCCTATACTTTTCTATTTTTTTAAGTGTAGAATATTAAGCGAGTCGCTAAAAGATGTACAACAATGAAGATAATTACAGACATTCCTAAAG